AAAATTATCTTGGAAGCCATGAAAGCTAGAAGGCTGAAATTTCGAGACGATATTTTCTGCCACTACCGGTATCTCACAAACTCAAATTTACCTCCCAAGCTTGCAGTGGTCTTGTACAAAACCACGTGAGAATTGTGATGTGAAAGTCGCTAACTTGGAGGTCGAAAAATTACAAAGTTGAAATTTGGAGGAATGCTCCTCATCCATATTTTCAAATTCAGCTTCCACGTACCGGCACGTGAAATTTAGTGGGAAACTCCTCACCTTAGCAGCCAGACAGTATATCTATTATTTTTCCATATATGAAAGTGTAAAACAGTTATATTTTTAGTAAGCAAACGTCCGCCGGGCGGAAATGCGCAAAACGCATGATCGGACCGGCTACCCTGGTGCGTTTCGCTATTTACTAAAACATACCTCGTTCAACTCTCATCTTTGTCATCTTTTCCCCACTCATATGTGGTGCAAATTTTAATTGTGCTCTATGAATTAGTAAAACATACGAGTATCGCACTGAATGCTTTTAACACTGAACAACAAGGTACTAAAAAAAATTACTGACTAGTCACGTCAACTCCGGATGATCGCTTTTCGATTAAGAAACAAAGATCCGTGAAATCCAAAAAACCCAACGAACTCCAAATTGTTCATTTTCTTCTTTTCGAACCAATGAAAATCGAATCAAATACGAACCTTTTTTTCATATCTTTTTATGGTGATGAAATCTTTCTGCAGTTCCACTTCTTTTGTGCCACATGTAAGCTTAACAACCCTGTAACATACACCTATGCTCACACTGGATTTCCTCCCAAACACCCCAGTAATTTTGATTATTTGCTAACCGAAAAATATTCAAAACATGAACCAAGGTATAATTATATAGAAAGTTTCAGTTTTACAGCCGAAAATACATCTAACAGTGCCGATCTGCAGTGGCCAGCCCGTTGCTGAACCTACGTTCGTCTGTTTTCTTTTTTTTTTTTAAATTTAAAAAAGGCGTGTTATTTGCAGCGCATTCCCTTCGCATTGCTTTAGTGCCAGCTTGTTTATGTTGCTTATCAAACACTTGAGGGAATAAAAAAGAATGAATTAGCTTGTTTTTAGCATTCCTCGGAAGAAGACAGCAACGATAGGCTTAGCTAGAGGTGATATATGTTGGTGCTATACGATGTATTTGTAGAATTTCTAAATGTTTTCAACTTTTACAAACAGCGAAGAATGGGAGGATCTTTGTTTTAGGCTTTTCAGACTCACTAGCACGAAAAGCAATTTTTGGTAGAAGGAGAAGACATACCCGGTGGAGACAATCTGCTTCTCCAGTGTCTCAACCTCATCCGCACTCAGCTGTTCCAGCTTAGCGAAGATCTACAAATATCAACAGAGTGTAAAATTAACGAAATGAATAAGCTTCAAAAAAAAAATTCAGATTTCAGTAACTCTCGACCTTAGCATCCTCACAGCTGGCTTATTCAGATGCTCCCAGTTTATTCTGGCTACCAAATCACACACTCCTCGAGAGAGTGGGAACTTCGTTTTCAGAACCGTAAAGCAATAAATTGTACGTGGGATGAGAAGGCTGCTGGAAATCGGCATCAACGCAATGGAAAGGGACCACAAAAAATTATGTGAGGTTGGAAAATTCAAGAAAACATGACTCAAACAGAAACCGAAAACATTAGCTTCGCAAGCGATAGAG